ATTAATAGATGAGCCAGACATCTCAAAACCACCATACCTGCAAAGCATTATCTTTGAAACATTTCGATTGCATCCTGCAGCTCCAATGTTGGTTCCACACGAGGCTTCAGATGATTGCACCATTGCAGGATATAATGTTCCACGTGGCACTATGGTATTAATCAATGCTTGGGCAATCCATAGAGATCCCCAAGTGTGGAGTGCTCCTACAAGTTTTGAGCCAGAGAGGTTTGAGAAGGAAGGAGAAGCAAACAAGCTAATTACATTTGGGTTGGGAAGACGAGCATGTCCTGGAGCAGGTTTAGCTCAACGAACAGTGGGATTAACTTTGGGATTGTTGATTCAATGCTTTGAATGGAAACGAGTAAGCGAGGAAGAAATTGATATGACAGAAGGAGCAGGAGCCACCATGCCAAAAATTATTCCATTAGAGGTCATGTGTAGAGCACGCCATCCAATAATTGATACACTTCTTTCTTAAAACGTTATGGAGGATAGCTATTTAAAGGTCCCTTGCCCGGTTGTCATTGTCCTCAGAGGCAATGGATTGATTAGTTCTTAATACTCATTGGCCCTCAAAAAAGCATGAGGACAGGATTCTCTAATAAATTGTAACCGTGTATATCATCTTCCTTGATCGCGGCAATAATGAGGATCTCCTTTGATTTGTTTAAGCTATGGTAAGCGTTTCAAGTAGTCAACCCGCTGGTTCTCACCTTATGTTCTTTGCTTTTGTTATTGTTTCTATCGACTGAGATTTCAAGTTATTAGATATAAGATAGAGATGAAGAAAAAGTACCATTTTTCACGTTTGTTTAAAGTAGAAGTAAAAAATATGAAGTACTTATTACGTTTTTTCTTTTTATGTCAAACCAAAACAAAAATAAAAAGTCAGTCAAAACAGAGATAAAAAGACTGTGTCATAGTAGTAGTGGACTTTGTTGTCCTATTTGATACGAAACATTAAAAATGAGAGATAAAGACTAGAATTGTAATTGAAAAAAGTCACTAAAAAAGTCTTTAACATGAACAATTACTTGTTACATGGGATTAGGCAAACCATGAAGTAGAATTAGAAAATATCACTTTCCTCCATGATATTCCTCAATCCCACATATATGGGTTTCTTTAATCTCATATAATAAGCAATCTCTCATACCTAATACTCTTTTAATAGATTTTTTTCAATCCCAATTCCAATTCTTTATTTTCAATGCTTCATACCAAACTATGCCTGAGTATTTGGGACCTCTTCAAATAATTACTTTATGTTCTACGAGACAAAGTTTCTATCTTATAGCACAAGAATACTTTTTGTTATTAGGTTAATCCAAACTGACACTCAATAGCAAATTCATCCAAATCTAAAAATTGATTCCATCAAACTCTTGTATAAATAGTAAAGTCCAAGTCCTTTAACTAGTTTTTCTTTCGCCAACTGATATGCAGCAACATTAGCAAACGAGAAAATTGCGTCTCGTTTAATCTTGTTCGTTGGCTTCAGAACATTTGTTTTCAATAGAAAAGGGATTTAGGGAGCATTTCTTTCTTAAAAATGCTCCCATTGGTACTCAGTATGCTTGATCTTTCTTTTTTTTTAATACTTATGTTTGAATTTTCAAATGGTCATTTTTTGTACTGAAAAAAATTAAAAGTGAGTTTTGAAAATAGCAAAAGTGTAACGCAAAAATCAAATGGGTAATGAAAAAGATAAAGGTTGATTACTAGAGAATTTTAAAAAGAAAAATCTCTGAAAAAGACCCTTAAATAACCCAAATTCTTATTTGGGTTATTGAACTTATCAAACTCCTAATTAGGTCACATGACCCGAAAAAGGATTTTAAAATTTTATGAAATGACTCTAATGTTCTTTCATTAGAAACCTAAGGAAATGAGAATTTTCTATCATTTTTAAATTGGTAATTTAAAATTCAAACGTATTGACTATGTAATTGAACTTGTTAATTTTTAAAGTTGTATTGTGATCATTTTTTATTTAAAAATTTATTGAAAGTGTATATTGAAGACAAAAATTATTAATTTAGAATTAAAATATATTAATAGTGAAATGTAACATGTTACTTTTTAAGGTTATATTATGATTAAGTTTTATTCAAAAGCTTACTACAAGTGTTATGGGGACATAAAACTGTTAATTTCGAACTGAAACTTGTTAACTACGTAATTAAACTTATGAATTTTTTAAGATTGTATTGTGATCAAGTTTTATTTAAAGACTTGTTACAAGTGTGTTATGAAGACAGAAAGTTATTAATTTACAATTAAAATGTGTTAACTGTAAAATTGAACATGTTAATTTAGAATTTTCTTTTGATTTCTAATGAAATAGACATTATAGTCGTTTTATAAAATTTTAAAATTTCTCTTTAGGTCATATGACTTGATTAGGTATTTAACAAATTTAATTACCCAAATAAGAATTTGGATTATTTAAGTGTCTTTTTAAGAAATTTTTTCATTTTAAAAATATTATTAATTATTAAAAAATTAAGATATTAAATATGAAGGAAATTAAAAAGGGCCTTGGTCTATCTTTGAAACTTAAAAGCTCTAAAATTCAAGGTCTTTATATGAAATTCAAATATCATTTCCCCTGGTACATATCCAGTCTTGCCCGCCCCTCGCAATTTAGAGAACAAAGTGGCAACAATATATGTAAGCGAGATAGACTAATGGGAAGATGACGGAAACATGATTTGGATTGATTTAGAGAAAACAGAAGAAGGCTGGGGGTGCAAAGCAATTCAAAGTCCCGGTACGTCTTGAGTTGGAAAGATGATTGATTTACTTTTCTTTTCCTAATAAAATATTGCAATTATATTTATTAGGCGAAGAAGCAAACTGACATATTGCAACAAAATTTAGTTCGGCGATGTCTTTTGTCATTTTCTCCAGCTTTTCATTCTTTTCCACAGCCTTTTTTAAAGATATTATATCACACAGCCAAAAATTTCAATATGCACCAGTGCACCTTTTGTTTTTTTGTTTTATTTTAAACCGCAAGAGCAAAATTATATAACTGGCATATAAAGTTATTTTCAAAGGTCAATTAGTGCCTAGTTTGAACCACGATGACGATTTCTTATTTATGAGGTAGCTGGAGAAGATAATGGTGATGGTAAGGAGTTTGAAGATGGTGGAGCTGATGATCAAAACAGAAATTTCAATAAAGTTCATTATAGAATTAGTGAACATGACCAATCTCAAACACTTAAAAGACAATGTCAACAGAAGTTTTCAAATACTTTGATTACTATCATCTCTGTCATTTTCAAATTCCTTACCATCACCCTTCGCTGCCATAGAATTATTAATATTTGACTTATTTTTGTTTATATTTGATAGTTTCAAACCACCAAATATGAAAGAATTACTTGACAGTTCTTTGTTAATAACTATTAAATAAGATCATCTTATTTGAAAATGAAAAATAAAGCGGCTTCATTTTTTATTATATACAGTTATTTGGTATTATTTTGGTTTTTATTTACGAGACAATATAATCATTGATAATAATAAGCGAATATAATATTAAATAAAAAATTATATTTATGGAATTCAAAATCCAACAAATTATAGATAAACATCATACATTTAATAAAAAATTAATCACTTGAACACTCTATGCAAAGGAACATTGTCTCTCCTTTAGAATTCTAAAAGAAAATTCCACAATAATGTAGAAGAACATTGCCACAGTCCATGGATCATGTATTAGTACTTTCAGTCACTTCGATCATAAAGGCAGAATCATCTCAGATACCTTCATAATAGTACACTATTTTATTTGATTCATCTCAGTATTTTAGATTAGTAAATCTGAAGTAGTGATTTTCTTCTCCAGCTACCTGATAAATAAGAAATGGTTATCATGATTCAAATTAGACACTAATATTTTCTGACCAAAAAAAAATTAGACACTAATATTTGACCTTTGAAAATAACTTTGCATTCTAGTTACATAATTTTATTTGTTCTCTCGATTAAAACAACAAAAACAAAAACAAAAGCTGCATTGGTGCTAGTGCACATCGAAATTTTTTAACCATGTGGTCTCTGTGTCCCTTAAAATCTCATAATATCTTCACAAAAGTCACGGAAAAGGATGAAAAGTTGGATAAAAGGACAAAGGATAAATAAATTTTGCCACCATGTCAGAGTTTGCTTCTCCCTATTATAGTTTCGTCATACCTTGGATCTTGTGTTAAAAACACAAACAAAAACTATGCCAAACTTTGTTATCCTCTCAGATCTTTAATGTGTATCATATTGGGAAACAAAAGTAAATCAACAATCCAGCTTCTAACAATCTAAGGTTATAAGTAAAATCGGACCGCCACCTGCTATCTGTAGAAGAGCATTCATTCTCTTCCTATCTCCGTCTCAAGACAAAGAAAGACTAGCATACAGAGACGTAGAGTTACGAGAGGGTTGGGGATGTTTGGTTTCTCCCAAAAATACTCTTTACAAACACTTTTGGTCAAAATAAAATTTCTTTTACGTATTTCATACACATAAAATTATTTTTAAAATTATGATTTTGTTTTCGTCCAAACACTTTTTAGAGCAAAAAATATCAAGAAGGAGGTGAGGAAGAATAAGAGGCTTTGAATGGATCAGGTAAGACATCCAAGGATTAAAATGCACTATGAATTGCAAAAAACGCAGCATTAAGATGCATTTTTTACAATTATAAGCCAATATATCACTCATTAATCTCTTTTTTCAACAAGTCCATGATGAAATTTCATAACAGAATTTCAAATGCAAGAACCGACAAAGCAACGTATCCATACAAAGCATGCAAAACTAAAAACTAGAAGGGAATTGTTGGTATACATGTAGATGTCCCCATTCACTTATTGCAATAAATTATATCAACTACTAAAAATGCACTTTTTATAGCATGAAACTCCCACCCACACACAACCCCACGCCTATGGATGCAATTCCTTAACATAGCCTTCATCTACAGCATTTTAAGAAAAAAGCCCATCAATGATTGGATGGCGTGCTCTACACATGGCTTCTAGAGGAATAATTTTTGGCATGGTGATCCCTCCCCCTTCTCTCATATCAATTTTTTCCTTACTTGCTCGTTTCCAATCAAAGCATTGAATTAACAATCCCAAAGTTAATCCTACAGTTCGTTGAGCCAATCCTGAGCCAGGACATGCTCGTCTTCCTAACCCAAATGGAATCAGCTTGTTTGCTTCTCCTTCTTTCTCAAACCTCTCTGGCTTAAAACATGTAGGATCACTCCACACTTGGGGATCTCTATGAATTGCCCAGGCATTGATTAATACCATAGTGCCTCGTGGAACATTATATCCTGCAATAGTGCAATCATCTGAAGCCTCATGTGGAACCAACAATGGTGCAGCTGGATGCAGTCGAAGTGTTTCAGAGACAATCCTTTGCAGGTATGGTAGTTTCGAGATGTCCGGCTCATCTATTAATCGTTCTTGCCCTATATATGTGTCTATTTCTTTCTTTGCTTTTTCTAACACATGAGGATTGTTCAATAAACTAGACATTGCCCACTCTAAAGTCACAGCTGATGTATCCGTTCCAGCAAGAAGCATAACCTACATAACAAAATTTACACACAAAAAAAATCATCATTACAACTAGACTAAATTTAATGAATGCTCACACAAAATCAAGATTTTGCAAATCTGCTACAATGGTGGGGTCTGCACTTCAAAAATCCAGTGAAACGCTGAATTAAATAATCCCGTTTCTTCATGTACTTAATCCTATCATAACCAATTTTTTTTTAAAAAAAGAATTTATTGCGGCATTAAGATAGATCCTGTAATTTTTATTTCCTTTTTACGGTCCCGCTTACAAGTTATTGCAGCATTATTCTCAAATTCTTCCCTCCTTGACTATACTTCCAGTAGTAGCCATGGTTTAACTATTCCGAGCAAATCTCAAAGAAAAGAAACTAAAAGATATTCCCAAAAACAAAAAAGGACGAAACAGGTACGGTTTTACTTACCAAAATGAGGCCCTTAATAATTTGATCCGTGTAGTACTCAGGCTGCGATTCTTGGAGGCTCAAGAGATGATCGATCATAGTATTTGCTCTCTGATTTGCATTTCGATGCTCATCAATGAGTCCTTGCAAGAACCCATCGATTCTCTTGGCGAAACTCTTGAGCCTGCTCTCCAAGTGAGCAAAATCAAACCACCTCAATATGGGCAAGAAATCAGCAGGGTTATTTGCCCCTCCTAGTGGCACCAAGTCCTTTATCATTTGTCGAAATTTTCTTGCCTTTTCCACATCCTCTACCTCACAGTCGTCTCCCCAGTACCTTTTACCTGAAATCATTCTCATTATAGTGTTGAAGGTCATCTCTGAAAACCTTGATTTCATCTCCACTTTGGCGAACTCCTTATGTGAGTCCTGAGCAAGCTTTTGCACCAAGCGCTTCATCTCGTCTCTTCGCATTTCCGAGAATTTGTTGAGACGGTGGGTCGAGAGCACCTCAATCGCCGTGATACGGCGGAGGTTGCGCCAGTGGTCACCATAGGGAGCGAATACTACGGTGGTGCAGTTGTAAGAGATATACTCACCTACGAGAAAGCGGGGCCGATTTGCCAGGACGATGTCGTTTTTGGTGAAGCATTCTTGGACTGCGGACGGCGAGGAGACAACGACGACAAGACGAGAGCCAAACCAAAGAGAGATGATTTGGCCATATCGTTGAGAAATCCGGTGAAAGGCTTGATGCAGTGGTTTTCTGAGTTGGTGGAGGTTGCCGATAATGGGAAGAGAAGGTGGACCAGGGGGTACTTTTTTGAACTTTTTGTTTTGGAGGAAGAACTTGAGAGTGAAGAGGAAAGCAAGAGGAAGAAGAAAATAATAGAATAAGAACGAGCTCATGGTCTTTTGACGCTTCTTTCTCTTTAGGAAGTTTGGTTTAGTGATATTATTGTTATATATAGCGGCTTGTGTTGCGTTTGAACTCACGTAATGCTTCATCAATCTTATATCCAAGGGATGTCCTTAAACAATAAGTTCCGGTTGCCTCATTTGATAAGGTTGAACTGAACTGTCCACTCGTCTAGTCTTAAATATAAAAGTTGGGAGTTGATCTTGATTTTAGATATAATATCTAAATCTATTTTATTTCATATATTTATAATTTTTTTCAACTAATAATTTTCTTAACTCATAAATTGATATATAATCTAATTAGAATACATAATTAATAAAGTAATATACTCTCCGGTTTTTAACATAGGAGCTAATTTGAGAGTTGATATTGGTTGTAAGACCTATTCAATATTTTTATTAATTTTATTGATATTTTATAAACAATAATTAAATAGTAGAGGAAGGAAAGGAATTAAGGATGCTGATTAAGGTGTTTTAAAAAAAAGATATATTATTATATTAACTAATTTAACTAATATTTTAAATCTACTTAAATTTGTTAATTTGATTAGATGAGTATTTAATTTTTACAATCCACTGAAATGAATTAAATAATTGTTATGTTATATCAAGGACTTAAAAGAGGATATTGATATTCATCTTCATGTCGGATCAGCTTCCACGGAGAAGCAATTAAAAGGAATCTTCATATCCTTACAAATACTGATGATTACATGTGTGAATATTAATCCTTCAAGTTTTGTCATGATTTAGCGAGGGGGTAATTGGCTCTTGAGAGTTTGCAAAAATTGTCCATGCCCTGAAATAATGATGTCGTTTTGTTTGTCGCTGCGTGATTGAGTGTAGATTTTGATAAGGATCTTGTCTTGTCCGGAACTGGAAGCACAGACTCCACGCAGACACACACACATGAACTGTCAACCTATCACGTGCTGATGTGAACACATTGGTCACAGACAACGCCAAATATTTTTGCAAATTTTCTCAACATAGACACGTTGGCTCATGACGAGGATGGCACGAGGATCATGTCCTCATTAAGTTACAAAAGAAATATTTTATTTTAACTTTTACATTTAATAAAGGGTATAGAAAAATTAATGTATGCTGGCAAAAAAAAAGAAAAGAAAAATTAATGCATACATTTCAGTTTTACATTTTTAATACATTGTCTAGGGAGAGGGGGTAAGTTTTTTTTTTGTTTTAGGCCAGCTTATAGAGAGTATTACGTAAGTTTAGTTACTTAAATACTACCTCCGGTCATAATTATAAGACCCAGTTGACTAATTTGAGGAGATTAAGGAAATAAGTTAAGTTAGTTATTTGTAACAAATAAGTGTTGTCATTCCTAAAATATCCTTGCTAATTAAGTGTGTTGGTTAGAACTATCATTATTAGAAGGACTATCTTGGAAAAAAAATGCATAAATATGAGAGACAAAATGGATTGGGGTCTTATAATTAGGACCAAACTAAAAGTCAAACGGGGTTTTATATTAAGGACCGGAGGTAGTATAAGAAGTGAATTTTTAATCCTTCTAACTTTAATACCATTGGTTTTATTAAATGAAAAATGATCACTTAGCGAATTTAAATAGTAACTCTGTAATTAACCACTAAGAAAAACAACTAAACAAAAGTTGTAAATAATATGAATGAGGGACTTTATACATTTATTTTAACAAATTTGAAATTTGAAAAACGTGGTCATCATTAATTGTTATTATAGTAAATAGCGAATAAAGCATAGCGAAAAAGACCTTATTGATTGCTAAACTATTATAATAAATTTGTTAAAAAGCTATAGTGAAAATTTAAAAAATTAATGATTAACTTATATGCTATATCTGATCCTTAATATAAAAATTAATTAATTAATTTGAGTAGGTTAAGAAAATTAGTTATTTTAGTTATTTGTAATAAATGTATGTTATTTTTTTCTAAAATACTCTTGCTAATTATATGTATTAGCAAGAATTACCATTTAATGAAATCTTTAACATCTACAACTACTATAAAGACTAGTTTAGGGGAAAATAGATAAATATAAGAGATAAAATATATTACAATAATATAAATTGAATGATAAACTAATTCTAATACTCATCCGGTTATTAACATAGGACCTAATTGTTAAGTTAATTTTGGTCCTAAATATAATACCTATTTTTTATATTTATAAATTTTTTCTAAATTACCCTTATAAATACTCCCTCAACCATAATCAGTAAGTGAGGGAGGGAGGACATTAAGAAAGATGATTATGGTGTTTTAGGAAAAACATGTCATATTTCTTATAATTAACTAACTTATCTAACTTTTTAATCTAATCAAATTAGTTAAATAGATCTTATATTAAGAACTGGAAGAATATTAAAGACTAAACGTAATATTATGTTTTATTATTTTATTAAGAAATTCCAGTGGCTCGAAGGCGTCAGCCAAAGTTTTGGCATCCAAGTTGCTAGCGAGGGGCTTTGACCCCTTTTTTTCCCCCAAATAAGAGCACCCGTGTTTTTTTGCTTTAATTTCAATAGAAAAAACATATAAATATTTAATTCAAAAACGAGAGGAAACTAGAAGGAGCTTTGTTGGCAAGAAAACACAAGGGTTTATACATTAATTTTTTATTAGGGGTTAATATAATATCTAATCTTTAAAATTTGGACATATTTTAATTTTAGTCCTTCAAATTTTAAACTTATAATTTTAATCTCTCAAACTTAGTTTGTTTTAAGACGTTAGTCTTTAGACATATAATGATTTTAAATTTACTAAAGTGTCATAAATAATATTAAAATAATGATTTGAACTCATTAGATAGTATCGAGCTGAATCTCATGTGGATAACAGAAAGGGAAAAAAGCCAAGAACAAAGTCCCCAGTTGTTTCTTCCTCGTTATTCGTTTTCAGGACCCATTCATTGTACTGCATTTTGAGAATCCATGCCCTTTTGTATAATCCTTCTCTGAATTGCATTATGAGAGCTTGTTCTTTCTTTCCAGTTATCCACAAGATCCAGTTAGGTGTCATCTGATGAATCCACATCATTATTTTTATCACCATTTATGACATTTTTGCAAATTTTAACACCATCACATTTTCAAGGACTAATATTTTAAGTCGGATTCAATTTCAGGCATTAAAATTGTAGATTTAAAATTTAAGAGATTAAAATTAAATTGGGGTCAAATTTGAAATTTCATACACAAAAAGTATACTGCTTTCAAATTTAATTTATAAAATGTGAAATTTTATTTATAATGTACAAATAAAATTTTATAATTTAAATAATAACGATCCATCGCCTTGGTCCCCGCAACGATGCAACGCGTGTAGGTCTATCGCTGCGCTATGATCAGGCTGATGGGACCACCGTTAGGTCTGAGCTAGTCTGATTTTATGATACTTTTGGCAGTGAACCGTTGGCTTTTGTTTCCTAACTCCCATTGGAGTAGTGGACAAGAAGATGAAGAAATATTTTCTTGGATCCTAAACAACCGTATACCACTTCGATGCTTAATACATGAATCACTTCTATGCCACTTTTATTACGTACGGATCAAATTAGAAAACAAATACAACACCGACTCTAAATATAAGCCTTATATTTAGAATCAGAACGAGTATAAATATGCTACAATTACTGACTTACGTTTATAACCAAAATTTCTCTTACGAGGAGTTATATTTATAACCAGAGTAGTATGTTTTAGACGTTGTTTTCATCCTCTTATATACACACAGTGTTGAAGTTCCAATTACGTCATTTCATAAATGCTTAGACTCCGATTTTTCGGTCTGCTTCTCAATTAGAGGTCAAACTTAGCCATATTGATTGATATTTATTATAAAAAGAATTGAATTATGCTACTTATGCTTCAAGAAATTAAATTTTCAGCCTATATAAATGTATCTAGATCTGTTGGTAAAATAATACTTCCGTATGGTATTCAGACTCAATAAAAAAATATTTGATAAAACAGACAAATGGATTTCGATAATGATTACACATGGGAATATCTGGATAGTGATGAGTGGGTTTTAAAATTTTATTCCTTAATATAAGACCTAATGATTGAGCTGATTTTGATTTTAGATATAAGACATATTTCTTATATTTATTAAATTTTTTTAAATTATTTTATGGATACTCCCTCAACCATAATCAAGTAGAAGAGTAAGAGATAATATTAAGAAAGATAATTATAGTGCTTTAGAAAAAAACATGTCATATTTCTTGTAATTAATTAACTTATCTAACTTTCTTAATCTAATCAAATTAGTTAAATAGGTCTTATACTAAGGACCAGAGGAGTATAAATGTTAGGTTTTGACATTTACCGGCACTGCTAAGAAGGAAAAAAAAAAAGAAGAAAAAGAAACCTGCAAAGTTTGAGTTGGAAGGAAGCAGACCAGGTAGTAGTTTTTTTCTATCTTATAATTATCTTTTGATTGTTGTATGTCTATTTATGCCATAATACAGTAGTTTAGCATGAGAACATGTAAGTATAGGGTTATGGATACATACATATTATATATATATATATATATATATATTTGATTGTCAATACTCTGTAAGCAGGCTAGGAATCAGGCCGAATAATGAATGTTTTAAGCCTTGCAGGTCATAACTGATCTAGCACAGTTATAATATAGTTATACATAGAGATTAATGGGTCGAATGTTGCTGAACATGAACCCAATTCTTATATTATTCCGTAAAATTTTAATCAATGTTTATTATAGAGCTGAACCACAAGATAGGGTTCATTAAAAGTAACTTTTGAAAACTTTAAAATTTTTCAAAAAATATCATTCATTATATAAGATCAAACTCTGTGCTAGAATATGTTTTGGAAACTTTTTGGGGGAAAAAAATTCTCAGGACTGAAACCCGACTCTTAGTGGTTCGTGATTATATTATTTGACCTTGTTAGTGTATTTAAGTTAGGCGTTACATTCACATTTGGTATTGCATGGTGA